GCATGGACTGTTTCAAAATGCAATCAGATATTGTTATGCCTTTTACTGCCTGGAGACAAAGCAAGTCATGGGGGAGTGAGAAAATAAGGTGGAGGGAAGGTGCTCTTAAGGTATTACAAAGTACCACTGGAAGCCTTATTCACTTCTACTTGGGATAAAAATCCCTTGCAGTCACATATCCCAGAGTCTAATATTTTCTGAGACTCCACTGTGCCTTTATATTTTAATGCCCTGACATCTGGAATCTTAAAAGTCTAATGTTTAACCATAAATATCTGCTGAGATTAAAGAGCTATATACCAAGTTTCAATCTTTGGGGCCTATAATTGCTTGGGAAAAGAGAATGGCATTTCCCCCTCTAGCAAGAAGAAAAAGACCTCTGCAAGCACAGATATTGGCAGACAAATTTTCTAACAACCATTTTCACTCTCCATTCTGTCCTCTCATTTTCTCCCTCCCTTTCCCGACACCCATTTTACAGCACCGTCTTTCTGTCATTCCTAGCACAAACAGGATTAACAACAAGCCTAGAAAGATTTAAAAAAATATATGCATTTCAAGAATCTTTGAGTTGAAAAAAACGTGAGTATTTTGCTAAATACTGAGCATGTCTCTGTAGGACAGTAAATATTCCACTATTCTATTAAATACCGTTTCATCAACTCTAATGGGATAACAGCCAAATGACAAATTTATTTTCTTTTTTATCAGCCTAATATTTATTTTTGAGTTGAGAATGTCACTTCCAAGATTTCTATAATGCCTTAGAACTTTCCTGAGTAATGTCTAAGAAGTAACAGAATTGAGAAATGTTTCTTTCCTTCTCATGTTAAAAAATGGGAAACTCTCACCTGCCCTGAAGGTAGATTTGGTCAGAAGTCCACAGCACTTCATCGAGAATAATGTCCGAAAAAGTGTGGGAAAAGCTTATCATGAGTTTTACATCTTAATATAATCATTCAACAAAGAAATACAAAAGAAGTTGTATTTAACCCATTTTTGTCCTGTAATTACTATGAAATTGAGTCACTTCAATGCCAGGGGAAATAATATCTTAGAAAACAAACAATAGGCTTAGAACATATGTTCCAGTCAAAAGCTTCATCTAGATGGTAAATATCCATGCACCTTTCCAGCTAATATCTCTTTGTCTTTTGGAGATAGATCCAGTGTACATATAAGCAGGTATGTTTATGTTTTGCACAGAGAACTAATTATTTACAATTCAAAAGAAATCAAAGTCTCCTACTTTCTTTCCTAAAAACATTAACTTTCTACTGAACAATTTCTTTTACCTTAAAGAGGACATAAAATTCAGTAACAACGATTCTCAAAATTAATGCAGCAAAATCACTTGAGATTCATTTTGTAGTATGTGTTTTAAAACACAGTCTTAAATTTCCATATATCTATTGACTTAAATTGGTCCCACACACAAATGAATGTTTAATGTCTTAGATCATCCCAATGATAAACTATCTCGGAGCTGCCACCATGAACATTTCACACACACATACACACACACACACTTCACACATACACACACTTATAAATCATCCATAGAACATTCTATGCCAGGCTAGACTGCTATTTGAGTTCTGGTTGCCTTGTTTCTGGTCTGCTTCTAGATAATGTTCCTGGAAGACAGAAGGTAATAGTCTGATAATTGAGTTCGATCCACCCATGTAGGAGGCCAAAATGGAGTCCTGGACTCCTGGCCCTGGCCTAACCCAGACCTGGCTTGCTGTGGACATTTAGGGAGAGCGCTAGCAGATGAAAGCAGCCACTCTCTCCCTTTCTCTCCTTCTCTCCCTTTCAATTAGATGAAAATGAGTAAGAATTTATATATAGAATTTATATATACATATGGGCAGAAAAATGAAACATTTGTGATTATATTGTTTTAAAACTCTCCTTTTGTGAAAGGTCAATTCTTTAAAAAAACTGTCATCAAATTAAGTCAATAACGCATCAGCTTATATTAAATATGCTATATTCGACAGACACAAAATTACTCTGTAAAATATCTATGTTCCCAAGTGATAACAGCCTGTACTTATCTTACTAGAAACATTTTTGATTGCATATTTCCATCCACTAAGGCACAAGCTTGACAAAAGCAGGGCTACTATCTTGTTCACTACTGCTATAGTTTCTTATCTAGAAAGATACTAACAGATTGTATGTGAGCAAAACACATTTACTCAATCAATGAAAATACCACTTAATATGCAAAGTTACGATACATGAAGTAATGATGGCTTCCATTTTTCCTCCCTTTACTTACTTCAGCATGATTAAGAAATGCCTAAATTCCCTAGAAAGATGCTTCGGTCAATTTCAATTCCCTTACCACCAGTATTCCACACAAACTAACTTGTCTGAAGTCATTCCATGCATTTTTATTCTGGGACAGACAGCAGATGTGTAAGCTGCCAAAATGGAAAGTCCAGGTGCCAGTCCAGTACCAACTAAATGGAATATTAGTTTCAAGACTTTGTTTTTCTAAATGACTTTAGGATTTTCAGATCATCAGATGCCTCCACACTTATATGCTTTCCAAAATAAAATAAAATGGTGCTCAGAGGATCACCTACTTTGGATTAGCTTTCTTGTTCTCTACTGCCTTGCATTTTCAACACTGGCTGCACATGCAAACTTACAGATAAGTATAACACAAAATTAACAGTTCACTTATCCCCTGGCTACACACCCTGCACCATGAAGATAGCAAAACCCACTGGCATAGTGTTCGTCAAAGCTGATCCACTTGGATGGTTTTTCTCTGATGCCAGACTCTATGACAATTCCTTAGGACCTGTAGATATCTCTTTGAGGGAGTTAATTTTTGCATGAACTTATATGTAGAAATAAAATCTGTTATTTTCCAAATTAAAAAATAAACCTCAAAGGCAACGGACTCCAAATGGTTTGAAGAAATTTGTTAGTAAAATACAAAAAGACATAAGGGTGTGTCAAGCTCACTGACATTTGGAATACATATGAGATTTTGTTCCAGTGATCTCCATTTTATCCTCATTTCTTTCTTGCTCTGGCTTACACACAAACACACAAAAGAAAGAAACATAGATTTGTATTTTGAAGAGAGAAGATATAAAATACAGCCATTTCCTTAAGACTAAATTCTTTTTCACCCACTAGATTGTAGACAAAACTGACAAGTAGCTTAAAAGCAATCTAAAAACTATACATAACTCATCAAGGCAGGGGGGATTTACTTATACCTTGGAAATCAAAGGAAACACTGCAATCCCACTTGCACCCATAAGGCACTACTTACCAAGTGCTGTCTCCTTCATCGAAAGATTTAAATTTTATTTTTGGTGCAATTAACATCATATTCCACTGTGGAAAAATCCCTATACTTAAAGCAAACTCATCTAAGATGTTATTAGCTTTAAAATATCAAGATTTGAGACACTCAGCTACATACACTTATGTTGACAATCAGCAACCCACACATTTGCATGCTTGTCTATGCCACGACAGACAGTAAATATTGCATAATATCATACTACGTGTTGGAATTTCAGCACAAAGTCAAGCTATACAGAAAAGACAAGCATCTCAGAAAAACCAAGTGCACTGATTTTGTAACCAAAATAGCATATGTATGCCTAAATATGTACACTTCACACCACATGGTAAGCAACCACCTAGAAGTTCATTAAAAGCATGTTATCATGATTTAAAAATTAATTAACATTTTAGCTCCCATTTGTATCAGATGACTTTAATTTCAAACCCACATGTTTGGGAGACTCATCTTCACACAGCACAGTTCTGCTGAAAAACAAAATAAACAAAAAACAAAAAAAATTTCCTTCTGAGGAATATCACAGAAAAGAAGAAGTGTGTGATTAGGGAAAATCGACAGAATGGAGAGGCATATACCCAGAAGCATTTTTCAGCCAGTAATGAGAAGGAATTTGAAATGTATTAGCTTCCTTGTGGCTTGGTTGAGATACTAAGGAATCATGCTCACAGGTTACCAGCGGCTCTCCACTACACCTGGCTGCAGCTTTCACAGTCATAGCCAATTTGACAGTACATCTTTACTGGAGTCCTTTCTTTTCCAGTGTCACTTGCCTACTGGTATGTTGGGGATCATCCTAATCCTTTACCCTCTTTCCACTTGCTTCCCAATCACCACCAGCAACACACATATGCAAGGAAACTTCATAGATTGTAAATTTGTTTCATAGTGTACTTAGAGGAAAAACTAAGATACTTATTCAATCTCTATTTTTTCTCTTAGAATGAAATGTAATTTTCATTAAGTACTCTGGAAAGCATACCCCTTGTCATTAACTTCATATAAATGCAATTCTTAGCAAAGATCATAAATCCAGAAAAATCTACAATTATTTATGTAGTAATTTAAAGGATAAGGATGCTTTCCCTATAGCATGAATGCATATAAAAGTGAAATTCTAAAAATCAATATAACTCACAAGAGAAAACTGAGTATACCTAATAAAAATGGAAAAGTAGCTATCATTTTAATGAAGCATTTTATTTTTCTGCCCATATTTTCTCAATACATGTATTTCTGGATTTAATTCCTCTGTGAAAAAAAATGCTTAGTGGTAATATTCAATAAAGGTAATACATACATCAACACGAATTTGTCCTAAGTGCATTCCTGTGCACTCAGTACTGACTTCAACATCTATATTGCAATACCCATATTTTGTCAACATACTGAAAAATTCAGTGAGATGTTTGATGGTAATTACAAGAATTATATGTAGAAATAGTTCTAAATGTCATATATTATATAATACCAATAGTTCAGACAGGGAAAAGGTAGAAAAAATGTAAAAAGACATAAAGTAATCAATATTTCAAGTTTCTATCCTATAGCTAAGTTTTAAGTAAGTGACCCCAAATCTCCATATGATCTTGAATTTAACACAGTCAAATCAGTGCCTTCATTCATGCTGCTACCACAGACATTGTGTTCAGATCTAACTGACCTGTGTTGAAGAAGGATCCAGTCCATTCTGCCTCAAGTTTAGGAAATACAGAAACTGGTGGAGGCAGATTCAAAGCATTTCCATCCAGGTCCTTGAACAGGTATTTCCTTGGATTTTCACACTGTGATTCTAGGCATATTATTCTCTCTAAATCTTTCCTGTAGATATAGAAAGCTACACTGTCATTTTATAATAGGACACATAAAAAACATATTTGTAGTGCAGATACTGGCTAAGACTAATTCACTTAGATTTTGTTATTGATAATCTGTTACATATATACTAAACAATATTCTCCAGAAAATCAGTTATTTCTAGGTATATGCAGAGAAGAAATATATTCTTATTAACTACATGTTGTAGATAGTTGGAAATATGTTTATATAGATCACAAATTTTCTAAGAAATAAAAGAAAATGTTTCTAATTCCACTGTCTATTGAACACAGGACAATTATCTCTTTGAGAAACTTCCAAGATTGTAAGTATTCTACACATATCATCGTAAATAACAATTATATTTGTACCATATACAAGCAAAGTAAAATAGGTATTTTTCACTGAGAAAATATCTACTGAAAAACTTGCTAAATATAGACTGGGAAATATAATGATAATGAACATAGAAATGGCCCGTACTCCCAGATTGTAGAGTCAAGTGTGATATAAAACCAAATGATTAATAATTACAATGATGAGTTATAGAGAATGTATTTTGTTTAGTCTGGCTCAAAACTTGTACTAAATTCTAGTGATGTTAATATTTATGCCATGCCAAACACATACTGAAATACTGAAGTACAAAAAAATCAGATGCAAAGTTCATATTGTACTTTGGTTCAAATGATAGTGATCCTTCAAAATTCAAGTTGAAACTTAATTGTAACTATTAACAGCTCTAAGTAGAACGCCTGGCAGGTGATTAGGTCATGAGGATGGGGCACTATTGAGTGAAACCAGCCTTCATTAAAGTGTTGGAGATACAGTCTTTTCAGCTGTCCTCTCAGGCATGTCAGCACAGCATTCTTCCCTTCTTGAGGACACAGCAATAAAGGACAACTTTGGGGTCTGACATGGTAACCTAGTAGCTAAAGTCCTCACTGTGAGTGTGCCAGGATCCCATATGAGCACTGATTCATGTCCCAGCAGCCCCATTTCCTATCCAGCTCCCTGCTTGTGGTCTGAAAAAACAGTTGAGGACAGCCCAAAGCCTTGGGATCCTGTACCTGCATGGGAGACCTGGAGGAGGTTCCTGGCTTCTGGCTTTGGATCAGCCGAATTCTGGCCATTGAGGCCACTTGGGAAGTGTGTCAATGAACAGAAGCTCTTCCTCTCTGTATCTCCTCCTCTCTGCATATCTGACTTTCTCATAAAAATAAAGTAAATATTTAAGAAAAAAACACAACTCTGGAAGCAATCAGTAGCCCTCACCAGACACTAATTAAATAACTTAAGTTTGGATTCCCCAGCCTGCCAGAACTGTAAAACATAAACTTATGTCCTTTATATATCTACAGTCCGTGCTGTTTTGTAAAAGAAACCAATGGATTAAGGCATTTATCTTCACAATTATTTCAGCCTAATAGTAACACATCATCATATGGATGAACAAATCAGGCAAACTAAACACCAAATTTGGTTTAGCTCCCTAAAGTGAACAAGGAATGGGCAACAAAGCAAAATTTTAGGGAGATTAAATACATGAATGTCTAATTGGGGCAGTTTTGTAAGATTTTTTTTTCTGCCAAAGGAGGTTTTCCTTACGTAAAGGGAAAGAAATCTGCTCTCCCTGTTCCCAATCTCCCCACATTTTTTAAAAAAGAGATGTGTTTACTTATTGGAAGAGTTATCCCAAGAGAAAGAGAGACAGAGACAGGCAGATGGACAGGCAAATCTTCCATCTGCCAACTTGCTGCCTCCAAATGGCTACAAGGAAACTCAATCAGTGACTCCCATGTAGATGACCAATGAGCAAGGACGTGGGCATCTCTGTTGTCTTCCCAGGGACATTAACCGGGAGCTGGACCAGAAGTGGAGCAGTGGGAACTTGAACTGCAGGACATATGAGAGACCAACATCACAGGTGGCAACCTAACGTGCTATACCAGACATTAGCCCACTTCTCACATATTAAAAAAAGAAAAAAGTCATCTCAGAAACCATAATTACACATGGCCTGAGCCTATTTAAGCCTCATTGTTGAGTGCGAGGGCTCTTGGCAGCAGTAATATCTCAAAGTAGCTTCTCTCATTTGAACAGAATAATAAAATATGAATAAAATATATAATGTATTTCTGCCCATTTTCTTAGCTAAAGAAAGTCACATGATCAAATTTAGATAAAAGGGAGAAAGGGACTCTACTTTTCTAGCAAGAAATACTTTATCTGAGAAGATAGAGAACAGAAGGAGAAAATAATTCAGATCATTAATTCAATGGACCTAGGTGTTCCAGAAAACCCTATTTTTCATTATTCAACTATAATTTTCCTTTTAAAACCATGCTTGGCAATTTGAAAATCTTCCAATTTCTTCATAAATATAGCTTAATACAAATTATAAAATTACCTGGGTTGTAATGGAGGAAAGTAGAACTTATTTTCATCTTTCATATTTAGCATCCTGGTACTCTCTGCTGTTATTGGGTGCATTATCCCTGTGTTTTGTTCATTTGGTAGAATGCAAATATCTAGGTCTTTACTGTAGCAACTCTTGCCAAAATTGGAAAATGTCACACCTGAAATTGTGAAAATAATAGCACTGTATGATGTAAATCATTCTTCACAGATATACATTACACAATTAAATGTTATAATGCACTTCTAGGAGGAGGCAGTTTAAGCTATACAGGATAGATAGCTTCTGAAATTTACATAAATGGTCATACAAAATATCTGTCACTCTTTAGAGTGGAAATCAGACGTAAAAGAGATGAAAATCCCAGTACATTAAACACTTAAGATAAATATCTTCCATGAAAGCATGATCAAATTTCATTTATATAACGGAAAAAATAAATTAACAACCAGATAGACTAAATTAATAGGGAGAAAACACAACATTCCAAAAAAATTTTACAGAAAATAAGCTGCACCAGTAACTTATTTCAGTCCTAACTGTATAATGGATTACTAACCAACCTCAAAGCATAATTTCTACATACTATTTTCATCAATTTCTATAACAGGAAAAATCATATCTGTTATATAACCAAATTAAATTGTTGCAATGAAATCCCTTCACTTTGTATGTGAATATCAGTGGCTTTTACAAAAGCATTCACTGTTGCATACTATCATTGTAGTTAATAAAATCCCACAGGTTGTCAATCAGACCATACTGTATCTTTTTGTTGATGTAATTTTAGAATGTTATGAAAAGTCTATTCAAAGATGGTTAAAACTGTTACGTGGGTACACCAAAATATCACACCTTGAAGTTTAATGCTTCCTGAAACTGAGTAGCCATCCCTCACTTTGTGCCATGGCTCCCGGGGCCACAGGTTTGGTTCTGAGGTGAATGCAGGCCACAGTATACCAACTCTCCCGCCTCTTGGATTGGAAGGCGCTCGGTCTCTTGACGTCATAATGGCTGACCGAGGCTTTACTCTGTCTTGAATGCAGTCAAAAGTAGAGCTAGTGGCTACCACATCTGAGTTTCTAAACACAATCCGAGCATCTTTGTTGGAGTTTTGTGGAACAAAAGATACGTATACCAGCACAAAAAGACCAACAGTATTGTCGACCAGAATGATGTTCTCCATTTCCATGCTGTTTTTCACATGTAGCATGGCACCATAGTCAAAGTTCTTGAAAGCCAGGAATCCAGAAATACTGGTGCAATTTTCAATTTCACTTTTTTTGTAAAGATGAAGGCCATGAAGGTTTGAGTGGGCCACATTGCCAGACCAAATCACTCCAGGAGAGGAACACCTATGGCCTCCTAAATGAAAGCCCAGTCTCTCTGATCCTGCTACAACATTGCCGAAGAGATCAACATCCTTTGCCTGGTTCACTTTGATACCTGCAACCCACACAGTGGACAATGCTGACTGTGCCACCAGGACTACAAGATTATTAGTAAGAGAATAGTCCTGGCCTTCCATATCAATGCCATGACCAGCTGCATCAAACACTACGTTGTCTTTTAAAATTATGCTATGACTGGCAAGTGCATGAATGCCACCACCACAACTATGATGAAGAGTAGAAGATATTATCCATGATCCTGTGGACACATTAATGAATTCAATGGATGCATACAGTGGTGTTCCAAAGTTGTGTATTTCCACATTTGAAACTTGAAGGACACCTACAAATAAGCACAAATCATCAAATTTTTATTCCTTCACAAAAGATAAAAACATAGTTCATCAGAAAACAACTGAAGATGCATATCCTTAATTAAAATATAAGCTTATATTCAATCCAGTGTGATGTTTCATATTGATTCTAACAGAATATGGATCAGAAACATCACATAAGGGTTGAGAAGATTTTATGAGAAGTCTGAATAGTGTGTTGATGTAATTGGAAGAGAGAGAAGGAAATACAAGGAAAGGAAATAGGTTTTAAAAATGGGTACAGCTAATGCTTCTGTTTAAAATACTTACTTTTATTTAAAGGGATGGCAACAGAAAAGAGAGAGAGGAAGAGAGAGATAGGGAGGTAAAAGAAAGGGAAGGCAGGGGAGAGAAAGAGATTTTCATCTACTCACTTCTCAAGAGGCCACAAAACCAAAGTTGAAGCCAGGGGTCAGGAAATCCATCCTGATCTAACACATGGGTGACAGGGACCTGAAGTACTCGGGTTGACGTCTCCTGCCTTCCTAAATATATTAGCATAAAGTTGGATGGGAAACAAATCAACCTAGACTTGAACCAGCTTTCTGATATGGGATGCCAGTGTCACAAACAACAGTACAACCCACTGCACCACAACTTCAGTCCCAGGCACAGCTGGTTTAAAGATTCTGAGTATTTGTCTAAGGGTTGGGTCAGAAACTGAATAAGAATGAGAAAAAAAGTGGTTCCTGGTCACTCAACTCATGGGCAATATCCTTCTCTGAGTGCCTATAAATCATACGAAAATGACACAGTCATCCAAAGATATTGCAGGAATTAATATAACAGTCAACCTTATAATATGCAGGAAGCATTTCTTAATAAGAATTGAAGTACAAAATTTGCTTCTGCCCTAATCAACTAGAATGCAATAGAATAAATAGCAGGTTTTAAACCATTTAAGGACCTATAAAACCATTTGTATATTTTATCCTAGACAAACTACATTCCCCATTTTGTTTTCACAAAAATAACATTTATCCTGACATCATTTATGTAAAAAAAAAGGATAGAAACTTATGTATCTTAATGGAGATTTGATTTGTCCTGTTTTAGTTAAATATCATTGAAACAAAATAGAATGGGTAGGTTGATTTAAGGTCAGTGGATTGATATAAGCTTCAGTATAACAGGTAATAACATGATTATAAGAGAATAAATATTATCTAATAATGAAATGAATTAATAGCAACTAATATAACACTTCATTGTTCACCATGTACCAGGTTATATTCTACATGTATTTTTCTGAATTATTTTATATACTACTTTTATAAGCATTTTAGAAAGTATGCATAACTACTCTCATTTTTTCAATAAGGAAACTGAGACAGAGAAAGGTGAGGACGTAGGCATATGAATAATAAACTATTATTGACTCCATGTAGATATACTTGTGAAGAGCAAGAGAGTCAGTGCTTTCAAAGGAGCAACAATGCAACAGAATTTGAATAATGGGGCAATATCTGTGATCATTAGTCATCTATCTCTTGTGAGGTAATCACAACTTCAGCTCTTGCCCCTGTATTTTGTGTGTGTGTGTTGATTTTAAAGTCAGAGGGCATATGTAATGTTATTTCTCTCATCAAAATGAAGAGAGCAAGACTGAAGAATGGGTTTTAACTGCTGTTGGGAAAAGAGGATCTGGGATCCAGTTGCTGTAGCTTTATGGCTGACTCTCATTTATGCATTATAATTCAAAAATATTCTTTTAATAGATAATATAGGTATGTGGCTTAAAAGGATTTGCATCATTTTTAATTAAAATGATACTTAATCAGCATCAAATAATCAAAAACTGTCTTCAACTGAATATCATTACAAGCTAGAGGAAATATACATTTGGAGTTTCAATTTTACTGAACTTAATAATTGTGTTTAAATCCTAAAACTAGTTATAGATGAACAAAGCAAAAAGAAAATGCACATTTCCTTTTAAAAATATTTATGTATTTATATTGGAAATGAATATCAGACATGTAGAAACAAAGACAGCCAGAGAAAAAGATCTTCCATCTGCTAGTTCATTGTAAAACCCAAATCAGCAAGTGCAGCTGAGCTATCTGAAGCCAGGGACCAGGAACCTCTACCAGGTTTCCCATGCATGTGCAGGATCCCAAGGCTTTGGGCCATCCTCTACTACTTTTCCAAGCAATAAGCAGGGAGCTGGATGGGAAGTGGAACAGCCAGGACATGAACCAGTGTCCACATGTGAGTCCAGCATTTACAAAGTGGGAGTTTAACCATTAAACCACTGCACCAGGACATCTCCTTTTTAAAGTCACATAATTTTCCAGCAAGTTGAAGAAATTTTTCTAGATGTTTTTGATCAGAAAGAGGAGAATAATGAAACCCTCTAACACGAAATCAGGAAAGTTAAATCCTGACCCAATATTTCTGCTTGATAGTCATTTATTATCCATAGCTGGATCCTTAGCTAGCACCTGCATCTCACCTCACCTAGGGTATTTTACAAGAATGTGCAATGGTTCTTAATGCAATGTGGATAACCAATCAGACTGTGTGTCAGAAAAAAAGCAAAATAACTGAGATATAAAAACTGTATTAAGCTTACTTAATCCTAATAAAGTGTGAATGTTAATTTAATGGTTTTAACAAATATATAAATCTTATGTCTGAAATTATCAACAGAGGAAAATGGAATGAATGGTACAGAGCATAACCAGTATGCTATTGAGAAAAATCATAGTAATTAAGAACCTGTACACAGGTATATAGATAGCTCCCATATTATTTTTGCAACTTTTCTACAAATCCAACATTGATGAAAAATAAAAGCATATTTGACAAGAGAGTCAGATTTGAGAATCAGACTTGAAGTTGATGTGTAAAAGCTAGATAACATTTTGTGTTATTCATTAATTTTATCCCTCCATATCTATTAAAGCACCTAATACATGGCAAAAACAACATTCAGAAAGAAAAAATGAAGGATCCAACATTATCTTTAATGAGTGCACAAACTTATGAGTGATCCAGCAAATAAACAGATAATTGAATTATAGACTGTGTTTCTACAACAGGAAAATAAAACCCCTCTCATAGGGATGTTATGATAGTAAGATACAATTCCCACTGTATAAAATTCCTCAGTTTCAGGTCTTCAAGGAACAATACCATTTCTTTTTTCCTTTTCCTGGAGATGATTCAAGAAGACCTGGATCCACAATGTCAGAGGTTTTAATAAAGTCGGTCTTGCAGCACATTCAGCTCTGGCTTGGTGCTCCACTGTAAGAAATTGCCTTGTTTCCTTTCCTGACCATGTTGCAGCTCGACCTGCAGTATACATTCACTGGGAACTTTTCCCTGATTCCCTGTCTTCAACAACAGTAAGACACTCTCACTTCTTATTTTTTTTAAATTTTATTCATTCATTCATTCATTCATTCATTCATTCATTTTATTCAAAAGGCAGATACGCAGAGAGGAGGAAAGGCAGGAAGGAAGATCTTTGATGCAATGATTCTCTCCTCATGTGGCCACAATGGCAGGAGCTAAGTTGATTTGAAGCCAGGAGCCTTTTCTGGGTCTCTCATGTGGGTGCAGGGACTTAAGGCTCAGGGCCATGCTAGACTGCTTTCCCAGGCCACAAGCAAGGAGCTGGATGGGAAGCAGAGTTGCCAAGATTAGAACTGGTGCCCACATGGGATCCTGGCACGTGCAAGGTGTGGACTTGAGTCACTAGGCTACCGTGCTGAGCCCTATCCTCACTTCTACAAGACCAGGACCAAGCCTTTGTCTCAGTTTTCTAGAGCAGGGTTCTTCATACTAAGCATAGTTCACTTTTGAGATTAGATAATTCTTTCTTGTGGTAGAATTCTGCAACATCTTTGGTATCTATCACATTAGATACCAGAAGCTCCTGCAGACTCTGATTAGTACAGAGACGTCCAGATATTGCCAAAATGCCCTCACCACATTTGCAGAGTCCGCTCTAGTGAGAGCTTACAAATTGTAAATTATTGATTTAAGGTGTATAAATATTGCCTTTTATCAAACCAATGAAATAAATGTGTCCATAAAAATCCTATTTTGCATACATTCAAGAGTAGCTTAATCCTGTCAGATTCATGTATACTTTCTTTTTTTTATTTATTTATTTTTTAATTTTTTTTTTTTATTGGAAAGGCGGATATACAGAGAGGAGAGACAGAGAGGAAGATCTTCCGTCCCATGATTCACCCCCCAAGTGAGCGCAATGGGCCGATGCTATGCCAGGAGCCAGGAGCCTCTTCCGGGTCTCCCACGCAGGTGCAGGGTCCCAAAGCTTTGGGCTGTCCTCGACTGCTTTCCCAGGCCACAGGCAGGGAGCTGGAAGGGAAGCGGGGCTGCCGGGATTAGAATTGGCACCCATATGGGATCCCGGGCGTGCAAGGCGAGGACCTTTAACCACTTGCGCCACTGCGCCGGGCCCCATGTATACTTTCTAAATGACTTCCCGAGGATGAGGCTTCAGTGACAGCCTTTTCCAGCCTACTTAATCAGTAAACAACTTTGGGATAATATTTAAGGAATACAAGTTGAAGAAACAGTATCCTAGATGAGTATTTCATGCAGCAGCTGAAAGTCCACTTGGGATGCTTATATTCACATTAGAGTCTGTAGGTTAAACTTGTGGCTCCGCTTCCAATTTAGGTTCCTACTAGTGACTACCCTGGAAAACAGCAGATATCTTGGGTCCCTGCTACCTATGTGAGAGACCTGAATTGAATTCTGGAACCCTGGCTTCCAGTATATCTAGTCATTGCTGTTGTCAGACATTTGGTTCATGAATCAGCAAATGGAAGACCAATTTCCCTTGGTCTCCTCTCTTCCCCTTACTTTCAAATACGTTAATTTAATTAATAAATTAAAAAGAAAGTCCTAAACAAATAATTTTACTGTATTCCAAAAAAAAGCTGTCTTCGAAAAAATTGATCTGATCATTAAAGCAATCTAGAACATGACAATAATAGTTAAAATTTGTAGTATTAATTTATAGCATTAACTGATGCTTACCATCAGATATAGTGTGTTATTGCGGAAAAAAAGATAAAATTCAAGTGGTCTGTAAGTCACCTATAATTCCAAAGCAGAGGAATTTCACACACGTTGAAGATGCTTTGAGGGAACAATGTGCATCTGTGCAGATTTCTAGTGCATTTTTTTCACATTCAATTGATAATTAATCATAGGCCAGGACTGAAAAAAAATTGTAGTTTCTTGGAGTACAAGGGAATTGTTTCACTTGAATAGCTGTTTTTGTAAATGAAAATTCTCACCATTAGAATCTTCAAAGACCTAAGATGAATCGATCCCAACAGATATCACTTAATAACTTACATTTCTATTTACCTGAGAATTCTTCTCTTCTGGGATTTCCGAAAGACCCCACCAGCAGTCTCCCGCTACATGATGTATCAGACTGGATTTGTATATTTCGGGTCAGCAGTCCAACTTCAGCAGCCAAACTAATGTGTCGGCCATCCTCCATGACATGGACACTTCCTGGGGCAATAGGAGTTGGACAAAAACAATCTTTACAAACCTATTTCAGAAATCACTAGCTGGGGACACAACGAACCTGACAAATGAAAACACTCCCTTCCCTTCGGAAGGGCTGCCGACATTAAGGTCTGCTTTTCCTCAGGCATTCCCCAAGACGTCAGCTGAGAAATAAAACAGCCCATTCACTAGTCTCTCTCTGGGATCACAGGGAGAGTGCCTGAGCAAAAATTCATTTCTTCTCAGTAGCTGAGGGTGCTGGAACAGCTGTTGGTACAGGAAGTCAGCGTAGGCTTGTCCAATTTGGAAGGTCTCTACCTCGTGCCTTACATAAAATCAGCGGGAAAATCCATGAGCCTGTCACATGACAGACAGGAATGTCAGGTCAGCTGAGGGAGGCAGTGACAGAAGGAAAGCAATAGTGTACACGAGTAAATGGCAAAAGGGAGGCAGCAGCAGCCTCCTCGTCAGCCAGTCTCAGCTCACCACCACCTGAAACACCTTTCCAGGAACTGGGAGCCTTCAGCTCACATCACTGACACCAGTTACATCTTCCCTTGAGTATCACTGGTAGGGATGGCTGAAGACTCTCTTTCTCTGCCACTGCTTTAAAGAAGAAATCATCCTTGCAATTATGGACTAGAAATCGCTGTAAATACTCATTCCCTCTCACTTAGGAGATAAAAAGGTATCCCATCACCCCCTCATGTTCAAGTTCTGTTACAGATTTGTTATATCTCCTGGATTAGATTTGTCTTTAGACCAAAACCAGAAGATAAAAGTTTTTATGTTTTTTCTCTCTTTTATAGAAAATGCGAATAGTGCATAGTATATAAAGTACCCTGTCCTTTCGTTTTTAAAGGTACTGCTTTTTTTCCTTCCCGTTTTTCCATAATAGTAGTACACACATAATGTGCACTTCACACCAGGGAGCACTATTACTAAGTTGGAAAAATGAAGCCAGTATATATAATAGTCACTATACTCATAAGTACTGTTCAATTTAGCATACCATAGAATAAACCAGTAATTCTGTGTCCATGAATTTTTACTTTTGGCTAAATCATGAAATTGCCCAGTAATATTGAATGAGAATATCATATTAGAAACTTGCTTTTTGTTTTTATAGTCCTTTAGAATTAGGCCAAACAATTAATGAAGAAATAGATATTAAGCCTTCGCGTATGAGTCTAAAGCACCAAGAAGGTACTATGCTTGGCTGCTGAATAGCAATCAGAGCGAGTCAGGGGTAACTGCATTCTTCCTGGTGCATTCCCATTCCTGTACCAATAAACCAAAACCTTACCAAGGTGCCGGTGTCTGAGTCGTTCATAGATTCGAATATGGTGGCCCTTGACTTCTCTCACAGTGAGGACTTCTGCTTCATGAGGCTCGTAAGAAGAGGAAGTAAGGATAATTTTGTCATGAGGTTGCCAGTCCACCACATCCTCAACTATGATTCTGTAACAACATAAAACAGCATTAAAGTGCAGTAACAATGAAACAGATTGCCTACTAACTCCGCAGAGAGAAGAAAATAAATTATGATGAACAAGTACCACTAGGAGCTAAGCTAAAGGTAGAAACATAAAACAGTGGGATAAAAATGTGTTTTTCAAGAAGTTTAATATTAATGGATTAAATTACCTGAGTTGAAAATGTATGAGACTACTTCAAAAACTTCATGGAAAATGAAATAAAAAGATAAGTTTGGTACTTAAAAATAAATCCATGCATATAAGCAGTCTTAAAAGTTCATGAGAAGCACATGAACAAAACTATGCATGGATTTTAAATGCTTTTGTATCCAAATCTCTCTGATCTTCAATTGTACTATGCCGTGTGGACTTTTAAACCCTATTATGTGTCATAGGAGCAGTAAAGATATTCTGTGGTCTTTAATTACAAGTTACCAGAGTAAGAAACTATGCAAGAGTTTAGCAAATGCACCAACAGGTGATTTTCTGTAACAGCAAACTTTCTACTTGGTTTGGAAAACAAACATAAAGACATTTAAAAGACATATTTACTCATACTATCTGAAGATATACAATGCTATTCTTGAACAGTTTATCATTATACATTAAGGATATTTTATTCATTGTCAGATACAAGTGTGAATTTTCAATGTGCCACCTACCAGCCACATCAACAGAAATCATAACTTTTCAACTTAATATTCTTATCTGAAAAGTGCTAACAACTTCAATATTCAAATTTTACTGTGAGAACAAAAATACCAGTATCTTTGAGTATATTATGTTCTCTGCATTATGAATTCATCATGTTATGAAATGGTGTAGGTTTTGTTCATTTGAGGGTTTTTGTTTAATCTCACATTTAATAAGATATTTGCCTAATCTTTCACTGTTGCCTAGCTTTTTCTAGTATGACTACTTTATTCCCCATTTAGTCATTATAAACTTCAATAACATAAGTTTAATTACCTAGCTGTTTTGCTAATACCAAGATTATAGCAAGCTTTGAAACTATATTGTCCTCTACCAGTAAATCTTCATCAGGGTTCATGTGCAGGCCGTGTGTAGCCATACCGCATTGTAGTGATTAAGCCCCTGGACTGCACTAGACATTATACAAGCTATAAGAGACATAATGGCAAATAAAAATGTGTTATTTGCATTAAATGATAACAATTTAGATTTATCTCATAGACAATCTCAATTAAACTTCTCTATGGGAATAAGATTTTGAAGTGTTTAAACTGTAACCACAACAACAACAAAAAGACAAATGAAGGCCCATTATTCATGGGCAAATTATATGAAACAGAAAGAGAGAAAGAGACAGAGAGGGAGAGATAATAATGATAGAAAAAAATACTATTGTCAATTGATTCAATATTGATGAAAGAATTTGGTTTCATCTCTGTCCCTGGTTTCTTATAATTTCTTATACATTACAATACTCAAGCAACCACTAGCTTTTAAGAGAAAACTGAGATACAAGGAAATTAAGTAGCAAAACTAAATACAGATAGCTAAATGAGTTCATAGATCAAAAAGAAGACCCCTATTCAACTCCAGGGTTCTTGCCAGCAATATATCACCCTTTCTGTGATATTCTTAAATCTTTCCCTGCTAGATTGCAACTTAAAAAACAGTACATCTACATTTCAGAATGAAATCACAATAGTCCAATAAAATACAAAAGTGTGGTGTGAGCTATATATTGTAATAATTTACAGCCATTTAAGGCTTCCAAACTTACAGGTGCATAAAAATGCCATTTTCCTCTATTCTCCTGAAGCTTTAGGATTCTAAATGCCATGAGAACCATATAAAGATATTAAAGGTGCTTAGCTCCATTCACCTTTATTCTGATCTGGCAACATTGGTGAAGCAACTTTAAAGAAAAGTATGGTCCTAATAGCAATATCCTAATTGTTTCTCTCAACCAGGTATCAGTTTTTCTTAAACTCTAATATCCACTGTTATTAGTTGCTAGTTTTCTACCACTATGACTACCTTGTAATCATTTCAAGAAATCCTAACTTCAGGATTATTTCAGTCAGAATCCAGCCACATTTTAGGTCTCTGATTAATACTAACAGGACTGAGGTTGTACACTGGGTTAAGCCACTGTGTACAACAACTGCATTCCATACCACACTGCCAGCTGGAATCTTAGCTACTCCAGTTCTGTTCCAGCTCCCTGATAAAGTGCCTTGGAAAGCAGTGGAAGATGATTCAACTCTTCAAGCTCCTTACCCAACAGGGAGACCCAGATGGAGTTCCAGGTTCCATGCTTTGGCCTGGCCCACCCCCAGGCATTGTGTATCTTTCTCTGTCTTAATCTTCATCTCTGTCACTCCGCCTTTCAAATAAATAAGTCTTTTTAAAAAACTACTAATGAGAATCCTAGAGCTATTAAGAGGAGATTGTTGTTCTGAACGAAAAATACCTAAAGCAATAAGTAAACAAAAAATCACAACCTGTTTGCAACATAATTGGACCTAAATGGAAACCATATGAGAGGAAATTATGAATAATCACTGTGGAAACATCCTTGAAGATAATTTTTTAAAAGTATGTACAAAACATCAACATTTTCTTCTTATTTGGCATTAAAACTTGACTTAGTTAAGGAAAAATATAATGGTTATTACTCAAAAATGCAATACTTAGTTCAAACATGTAAAGGAATATATGCCTTTATATTTTCTTTAAAAGTTGTTATAATAATGTATATAATATTTAGATATAAATACCTGCAATTTAAATAAATTTGCTAGCCAAATTTTTGAGATACCCTAATGACACAATTACATTTGATTACAGGCTCAGAATGTGCAAACCCAAAAATGCTCCCTCCCACCCTCTAACCCCAGGCTAGGGATGGCCACAGCCTTCTAAACACTTGATAATATTGAATAATTTTACTTTTTGAGGGTTTTATTTTAAGATTTGTTTATTTATTTGAAAGGCAAAGTTGCATATATATGTACACACACACACACACACACACACACACACACAACATATATATAGATAGAGAGAGAGATGGAGAGATAAGGATGAAATCTCTACCCATTAGTTCACTACCCAAATACCCATAAAGGCTAGGGATGGGACATTCTGAACCCATGAGCAAGCAGCTACTTCCAGCACCTCCATTGCTTTCTGAGGTACATTAACATGGAGCTGGATCATAAATTGAGCAACTGGGACTCAAGCGATGCTTAGATAGAATGCCAAAGTTACAGGCAGCAGCTTAACTCACTAGGTTATAATGCCAATGCTTCAGCTACAGTTTGTTAATGTCACTGAAATATCATAAAGATCCTAAGAGTGCTTTGCACTGTGATATTTAAGAAACAAAACTCTGTAATGATGTTGATATTGATGTGGGCAACAACAATAATGATAGCATCTATGAATTATTTTTATGAATTATTATCTATGAATTTATTATTATTATCTATGAATTATTTATTTTACCTATGCTCCTTTTCCTCATTCCAGGAATTCCATTCCACCACTACTGAGAACAGCTCTCTTCATGTATCAGACTATAACTAATTCTAGTGACAGGTGCATTCCAGAGCCCCACAAACCTTTCACCTAAAGGTGGGCATGAGACAAAACCTCTATTTCTATGTCAAAATCGTTTCTCTAAAGGTGAATGTTTGCCCCACCAGCTAATACTTTCACTCTGGATACCCATATCCCATACGGGAGTGACTAAATTTGAGTTGCATCTCAGTTCCCGATTCTAATTTCTGATAACATGCAGCCTGAGAAGCAGCAGGTGACGGTTCAAGCTGTTGTGGGCATTTGGAGAGTGAAACAGCAGATGGAAGATCTCTCTCTCTGCTTCCCTCTCCTTTTCTCTTTCTCTTCCTGTATGCGTATATGTGTGTATAAACTTTCAAATAGATAAAAGATATATTATTTTGAAATCCTCCCTATGGATGTTTTAATGAAACTTCAAGGAAAGGGAAGCTTCCCCCTTCAATGGTAAAGGTTGTGAAATTTCCAAAAACAACTTTGAGATTACTTGCATCACCCAAAATGGAGAAAATCATTCCAGAGCTGAATATCATGAGATTAAAATACAAAATACAACAGTAGGGTAGTGGAGGCTCCCCTATTGATGAAAAAGAATTTAATTTTCAACTGGAAGAATCTTGATTATAAATACCCTGTACTTATGCTTTTTTTTCTAGCTGAAAAAAGTTAACATTTTGCAAATATTAAATCATTGAATAATTCCTACAATTGTCTGTGAACCATTTATTATCCATAATTATAAAAAGTAAGTATGATAATATGACTTAGAGAGGATAATTTATCTAGTGTCACTCATTCATCACGAAGCAAAATTATTTTACTTTGACTTATCTCAAATTTCCTTCCCCTTTTATGGTAGAATACTATCTTAAAATTCCTTTACAGACCCATATGTTTTTTCCCATGACAGAGATAGCAGTCTAAAATTAAGTCCAGGTAATTCACTGGACTAGAAGGAATCATCTTTTGGAAGCTACACATGTGAACCTCAACTGTCAACAGGCAGCTAATTTCATGGAGTAATCTAGCAGTGGGAATATGTTGTTAATATAATGAAGTCTGAGCAATAAACAAAACTATAGTTTTTGAAAATATATTCAAGAAATTATATCCCCATTTTCTGGTTACTATGCTATTGAGAAAAAAGGACCAATAAGTTCTGATTTCCAGAAAAGACATCCCAATTCAATGTGGCAGGCATTTACTAGAAGCATTCTCTACAATTTGCTCTGTGCCACATGCTAAGTGGTATATCGAATCAATAATAAAAAATGTTCCTCTTCTGTAGAGTCATTGGAGGTGTATAAATAAAGCAGCTTGGTATTGTGTATTAGGAAGCATTTTTAAAAATGCTATAAATCATAAAAATTTCATGCTGTAGTAGTTAAAATGGTAGGTAAATCAATGCTGGAGAAGAGATTGCAAGCCTTG